TAAGTCCTTACTCGCTCCCTGAAGCACTCGGCGTTCTCTCCAGGTGACTCTGCCACACAGAGAGATATTACCACAGCCAGAGATGTGGAAGTCGGGACCCAAGCCTCATCTCCTGAAGTTCAGGTTTGACATGCCATCGCTCCCCACCAACTGCACAGGAAAGTTAAGACACTCTCCTCCTCACTTCGTACTTCAACTAGGTGTTTCCCAAAGCCTACCACGAGCGCTTGGAGCTCCCAGATATTGCAGAGCTGTGACATCCAGAGCCACCCCAAATACACAGCTCGGATACCCATATGGGTCACCCACAGCTCAGCAGAGAAGAGCTTTTTCCTGCAGGTCAAAGCACCCGCTACCTTCAGGCATTTTAGTTCCACCACAAGCAATGAGCCCGTCAGAAAGCACCTTCTGTAAGCGACAGTCTTCCCAGCCTCGATTTTCCCTTGGGATCATCCAGCTCAGCCCACAGAAATGGGGTTCTTGTGGAAGGAGGCCTCACTGGGACTCCCTCCAGGACACACACAACAACCTCCTTGGCTTCCCAGTGATGTTTAATCCCTGCTTTGATCAAATATTCACATTTAAAAGAAAGAAAAGGCTTTCTTGCCACATTCATCTGAAGGGAAAACGTCAACCCATGAAGCTGGAGTTCCCCTAAGCCGCTGCTGTCCGTGAAGTCACGTCACAACTGCATTGCTGCAGCTCAACTGCCTCTCCACATCGATACAAATGCTCCTCGTGCTCAGGAATGTCCTCCTACGGGTCAGGAGTTCTCAGCCTCTGTTTCAGCATCAAATACTGCAAGAGAAAGAAAATCAAGTGTTAACAATTAAATTGCAGAGACCTAGAACTAGGAAAGCACCTGCCCTCGTAGATTAGCCAGCAAAATCACTGCACTTTGCCAGAAGAGGGAGGAATCTCACTTTTCAAGCAAAGCAAATAGCAGGTCACTACTCTGGCCGGTGCCCAGGTACGCACCACTGCGTTGTACAGACAGGGTCGTTATCAAAGTAGCAACGTCTCTGTAGCAGGCCAGGAGCAAAGCTTGTAACCACATCTAAACAGCTCCCCTTTTCCTTCATCATTCTTTCCTCCCCCACCCCACCCAAGAAGGAAAAAAAAAAAAGAAAGGGCACTGCGGCCATCCAGTCCAATCCCTGGGTAACTGAACTGCCATTGTTCAACCCCAGTCCCACCACAGACGGCACCGCTCTGGCTACCCGCAGGCACTGGTTTGACCCACTGTTTTGGAAAAGGCAGGGTCAGGTCCTTACGTTTTTACGGCTGACAATAGCTTGTTGCAACCACATCAACTCCATGATCAAGTGATTTCTGTAGGACTGGAGACCAGCCCGAGTTCGAGGAAGCTTCTTTATGTCCTCAAGTGGAATCCCTGCAAAGAAATGGAAGAATAACCTGTTATTAGAACAAACATTCAGATTGCACATACTGTCTCTCTTGCACTGAGTTGTTCTAACCTCTCCAGGATATTCCCAAGGTGTTGGTTCTCCAAGGACCTACTGTGCCCTCAGCACTCACCATCAGGTCACTCAGACCACGCAGGAGAGCGCACGCTGTGCACCAGCTCCTGTCTCTTACCCAGGCACGCTTCAAGGGACTCTGCCTCCAGGACAGCACTGTCCCACGCAGCAGATACGTTGCTGCCATCCTGCCAGTCCTCGCTCTCTGCTGGGGCGCTGCACCCCTTTTCAGTGCATTTATCAGCATCGTCCTCGAGATTTGGGGGGCTCACTCCATCGCCTTCACCTGCAGAGCTCAGTTCTGTCTCGTTTTGCGGCTGGGCTGCAGGTTTCACGCTGCTGCAGCCGCAGTGCCGTTCTGGTTCAGAGGTGTCCAGCTCCTCCCGCAGTTTTTCTGCGCTGGCATCGTCACTCGGTACAGCCTCCCGCGGACCTGAGCACTTCCCTTGTGTTGGCTTCTAAAGGGCAACATGTGAAAGTGAAATATAAGGAGAAGAAGATATACGGATCTGAAAGGTGGCTGTCGTGCGGGCCCTGTCCCAGCCAGAGATCTGCCATTAGCAGCACTCCTGCCATGACACCCGCCTGCTCTGGTTTGAACCATCATGAACTTTTTAAAGGGCTTTCCTTCCAGAAGTGGTAAAACATTAGAGCGCAGCGCTCAGCCGCCACAGGAGGGTCTGGCTGTTTGGTATGACCGGGTGAGGTGGGTGCCCGGGGACAAGACCTATGGGAGACACCTGCGCAGGTCGGGCATTTGACTTGAGGCGGAGCTTCACTCGGAGGAAGAAATCCCCAGTCGAGGTCTCACAGGCACAAATCAGGGTGAGCCTTACAACCCGGGGATATGTAATTATCATTTTTAATTTGGTTCCTGGGACTATGCCGCAGAAGAGCAGCACCCATCACAACATCCTGCCAGAGAACGCATGCCTCCCCCAACATGTTTTCTTCTGAGAGTTAAGTGACCTTATCAGGAATATTTGCATTTTCCTTGCAATCTGGAACATGTCCAGTAGTTTCCAATAGGAAAATAAATTAATCAGCCTGGTTTTCATTGGGGTTGTACCCCTTACCTCTTTTTTCCATTCACACCCCAATACCTTCCCCACAGAGGTGATCTAAAGCTGCCTACCAAACCCAGAGACCAAAGGTCCATCTACTCACTTCAGCCTTTTGAACTTTTCAAAGCCCGCAGCCACGTACTGGCACCCATCCTGCAGGTCCCCCAGCTCAGCGACACGGTGGCCATGCCTGGGTGTGTAGAGGTTCCTCACAGCCAAGGGCGCGTGAATGTTCTTGGTCACCTCATTCAGAAACGCCTCAAAGGTCAGGAACCGCCGCTGGTTCACTACAAACTTCCTCCCGGGGAAGAAGGGGTCACCGTTGCGATACACCACCACATTCTTGGCTGGTGGTGCCAGAGCTAAGCCACGGGAGCTCATCCCCCGGGGGTCCAGCAAGCCCCGCTGACCACAGTGGCAAACAGACCAAGGTGGGGAGCAGAGGAGAGCTCCGCCAGCCTCCCGCCGAGCCCAAACCCTTCAGACCAGCCGCTCTCGCGCTCTGCCGTCCCTCCCCGGCACAGTCTGGTGCGACTGGCTGTCTCCATGGATACAGGCCCAGCAGGAGGAAGTTGTGGGCCCGTCTGGAGGCCACATCAAACAACCTGCAGAGCACCTTTCTATTTGAGAACCAGGAACCATACAGCTCTTTAATCTTCAACCACCAAGTACTACGAGATCCCTCACCAGCCACTGTGGCCACCAGGCTCAGATTAACCAGCCTGGAGGTATATTAAGTACCAGTATCTTTATGGCAGCAGCTCACATCCCATCCAGAGCCCCCCTATCCAGAAGCTGTCACCCCCTCACCATTGTTTGCTACCTGCATGAGAAGTGCAGTGGGTTTCTGCACATACTGGACAAACCCACATCCCAGCAGACGCACCACCTTCTGCACTGAACAGGTTGCCATGGGTCAAAGCAGGCCATGGACTCGCTTGGCTCAGCCCAGGAGAAGGCGGCAAGCCAGACAGGAATAGACAGATTCTGAAGTGAGCTTGAAGAAAGCTTTTTATTCACCAAAAAAAGTCAGCATCATCAGGAACAGAAAGATACATCTGCCACATGGCAAGAGTGACCATTCAGTCAGCAGG